GACAATTTCCTATAATCATTAAAACAAAACTAGCAATTTAAGATCACATAAAGACCATATAAGGAAATATTAAAATTTAACCAAGAAAACTCGAACAAAGATCGATACAAACAAATCTGATCGCATCGGCAAACTAACCACAAAAAGGATCAAACTACTAGAAGACCAACAACAAACTACAAATCAGACTTGAGCGACGCGAAAAGCTATCCACAAATATATAACGGGTTTTTCAAATAATTTATCACGATGACCAGATATCATTTCAATACATAATGAAAATGAGTGTTCCAAACAATTTAATATTTAAGGAAAATTGTGTCTAACAGAAATCTTAAGGCTTCATTTTTGGCTAATAGATGATAGCACTAATTTTGATATTGACTATCTAACGTATCTTCGTTGATATTTCTTATTTTTCTTTTATTTTTAGGAATTGTTATGAATAATTTACACGAGTTTTTTTTATGGCAATAGAAATCATACCATTCAATCACGTTGAAGACGATGTCATGTCCTTGTTGCCTCACCTGTCGCGGTCTTTATCTTGTCCCAACTTAAAACAACGACAACAACTTTTCCCACTTCTCTGGTTTCACAACAACCACTCCTCTTCCACCCCACAAAAAAGGGGAAAAAAACGTAATTGATTTCTCTTGGAAACACGAACTGCAAACGAAGACCTTACACTGAAAAACAACATGGTGGTGGGAGTTTTCAACGTTAACATCCCCCGAATTCCGCTTTTCTCGCCATCCCCCTTGCGTAAACAATCAAGGGCGCCTTTCATTTCCATTAAAGCCTCCTTAGAGTCCTCAAATTCCCAAACCAGTACCAAGGAAGAAGAAATCCCAGGCTCCGTTTCTTCTTCTTCGTCGGCAGCAACAACGTTTGCTCCTCCTCCGGACTTCAAGGCGCCAGAGCCAAAGCGGTTTGCTGTTAGACCAGACAAGACTTGGGAAATTGCTGGGGCAGCTCTTGCCTTGTTCTTCCGGTTTGGAACGGGTGTTTTTGTTTCTGGGTATTATCCCTTCTTTTCATTTCTCCATTTGTTTGTTTATTTTATTGGTGGGTTGATACCAAATGGAATGAATTATTTATGTGGGAATTGGGATGAATTTGAAATAGTTGTAAATGTCGGCTTTTAGATATGAACGAATAAGATTGAAGATTATCAAGTTGAATTACTTAACTGAAATTTTGTTGTAATCAACGTTTACAAGCAAAAAATTCTTGTAGGCTGTATTTGTGGCACTTCACTTAATGATTCATGTCAATGGCATTGGATTGGACTATTAGATAACTAACTATCTTGTATCTGTGGCAGCTATTCCGCATCTATTGTTTCTGAGAATGAAATTCCACCTGGACAATATTCTTTAGAATTAAGAGGTATGGATTAATTTTTCTTTGGTTTCATTTCCTTATTTCTCGGCAACATTTTGTCAAACATCTGATCGGAGTCTGAATTTTGATCGCGAAGCAAGGCTTTCATTTTGTCTAAACAGTTTCAAATTTAATAGCTCAGTGTTGATCTGATGATAGGCTTATTTAACAGGCTCTAAGGTAAAAGAGACATCAAAGATAGGCCCTCGTCCAGAGAAACCTATTGAGATATATGAGTTTGAAGGGTACTTACTGCTTAATTCCCATTTGTTTGTTTTCCCCTGTGGATAACCTTTTTACCCTTTATTCTAAACACTGGTTTTTCATGTTTCTATTCTTATGAGTTATGAAGATTGACTCTTGTGTGTTCTTTTTTTTCTGTAAAATAATGGATGATGCGGACTGCCTGCTACTCCAGTTGTCCATTTTGTCGAAAGGTAGTTAATAATCTGCTTCTATTAGTCTTTTTCAACTTCAATCGCATCCAACAATAAACATACCGTTTAATATGACCGGAAGATAACAGGGATCATGGTTCTAATTGCGGATACCTATACTTCCCCAAATGAGACTTGTATTAAACTATGCTTCTCGAATTTTCCTAATAAGTCTTTAGTTGGAACTAGATCACCAAGCATGATGAAAGGTTCATGATAAAACTCCGGCGTGTTCCACTTAACATATTACTGAAATCATAATCGGCGAACTTCATGTTTTAGATTGACGTTTTACTAATGTACAGGTTAGGGAAATTGTTGCAGTTTTGGATCTCGATGTTCTGTTTTATCCATGCCCCAAAAATGGTCCAAATTTTCGTCCCAAGGTTGATGAGATGGGCGGAAAGCAGCAGTTCCCCTACATGGTTGGATGCTATTTCTTTCTTCTGCTCCACATCCTCTTTCTTAGTTTACCATTGGCTAAAATAATACATATGAACCCCTAAATTTCACCATTCTTTGAAGTAAGACCTTGTTCTTTTATTGTACCCAAATAAACTCTTAACCTTCAATTAAAGGGTAAGGCGTTATTTGGACGTAATAAGAGCGTAAGGGCTTAATTACAAGAAAAGGTAAAGTTCAAGGACTTTTTTTCCTTATATTAGCCTTCACCTTTACCCCTGGTTTGGTGCTTGAGATTTGCACTTATGTTTGTATTTAAACAGCCATTGAATTGGCATTAAAAATTGTGATGTAAAGTGGGAGTTCAACTTGGAACATTTGTTTCTGGTTTCAGGTGGATCCAAATACGGGCATTGCCATGTATGAATCAGATGAAATAATAAAGTATCTAGTCGAAACATATGGTATGTGTGGTTACATCTATACACTACGGTTGTGTTTCTTCTATTTCTTGGTTGATCAATGGATCATATTTGTGGATGTATCTATGTTCGATACACAATTGTAGTCTGTTTTTATATTGGTGTATCGTGTTCGTGTAGTTGCTTTCTGTTTTTCTTTTCCGAGTGGTCTTCTATAAAGTCTGTTTCGATACTTCTTCTAGGTTGAGTTACTTGTGCAACATGTCTTGATTACTTCCTCCTCTAGGCTGGTTTATATATAAGATGTCTCGAAATTTTAAGCTTACGTTTTTGTTTCTTAGTAACTTAGTATGCCATATCCCCCGATTGATCTGTGTGTTCTTTTGTGTTTTAGGTGATGGAAGTGTTCCTTTCATGCTATCACTTGGTCTATTGACGGTTGGTAAACTTTCTTATAATAGATTTTGTCTCTCTGTGAAATGTTCAATATTTTTTTTCTTTTGTTGGTGTTGCAGACATTGACAGCAGGATTTGCAATGATTGGTCGAATGGGAAGGGTGAGACGGATATTAAATTCATATTTTATTACGTTTTGAAGATGTCCGGAATTATTTGCCAAATTTTTTTGCATCATTAACATGCTTATTTGTCAAAGAAATTATTCTAAATTTGCTGCTTTCTGGAAACACCCTAAATACGAACTTACGTTAAGCAGGGAAATTCCTACACCCCATCAAAATTGCCTCCTAAGCCACTCGAGATATGGGCATATGAGGTATTTTTCTATTAATTTTTTAATATATGTATGAATGGTGATTTAGTTCCTTATCTAAATGCATGGGAACTACATTTTCATGTAACAAAAGTTAAATTACTTTTATTTTCCTCTAAGGGTTCTCCATTCTGTAAGATCGTGCGAGAAGTGCTGGTAGAATTAGAGTTACCACACATTCAACGCAGGTAAATTCCTAAGCTGCTAGATTTTATTAAAACCGTCATCTTTAAACATATGTTAATGGTCCATGAAAAATCAGTGTTTACTTGAACTCTAATTTTAACAACATATGCATGTTTGCTCGATCAATGCTTTGGTTAAAAAAAAAAGTTTATGCACATGCCAAATATTCAGCTTCAGATGTGTGAATAACTTGAGATACATCAAGCATGTCTTGCCTACTAAGTTTCCTTGCAGTATTAACCATGATCATCTTCATTTTTTCATTTGCAATGGTGGAAATATTTCCACGTTGATGGATTGGCATACCCTTTATATGTATTCATTTAAGCACCAAGAGACGGTACTGATTTATTATTTTTGTCATCTATCAGTTGTGCTCGAGGCAGCCCAAAACGGCAGATCCTGTATGAGAGAGTTGGACATTTTCAGGTAATACAATGCTTTTCTGAACAAATTTGCATATCTAGAAAAGTAGGTAGTAATTTGGAGGAGGAAATTGGTTGGCAGGTACCTTTTTTGGAAGATCCGAACACAGGGGTGCAGATGTTTGAAAGTGCAGAAATAGTGGAGTACTTGAAAGCTACCTATGCTCAATAAACTATTACTCTATACAAAGATTTGTATCAAAGGAAGAAAATTAGTGATTTTTAGAGTTAATAATATCAAAGTGACACTAAACTAGTCAAACATTATAAACCATCCACCGTTACAGTCAACAATTTCTGCATATGGAGGGAGATTTTGAATACTTAGCATGCGGAGACTATGTAAAATTTAAACCCACTTTAAAACATGAAGCCTCAACTCAACCCCTCCTGCAGATATAAAACATAGGATAAACTACATATTTAGTCACCTTACTTATGTTTTGATTTTGTTTAATTCAACCGTCTTTAAAAAATAAATAGAATTGTTGACATAATAATTTTCGTCTTTTTATATTATCTTATGATGACATATCAATATTATAATTAATTTTTTAACGACATGTGATCAAAATGTAACATTTAATATGATTTTAAAAATATAATTAGGTGACCAAAATACAACTGTAAAAATAGGTAAAAGATTAAATATATAATTTATCCTAAAATATATTACAAAAGGTTCTCTATTGAATGTATATAAACCACATTACCAATGAGTGGATAAAAACATAGAAATGATTTTTAAAAATAAATTCAACAAATGATTGAGAATAGTACTGAAAAAATTAAATACGAATTCATTAGTTTCAGTCTTTTTATTATTATTATTATCTTCAATACTATGAGTAAAAACAACATTAAATGCCTAGAAAATTTGATAACGAGTATTAACTACACACGGTTGTTTTGAAGTTCTATTATAGTTACAAACAATCCAAAATCTATCTACAAAACTATAAAACCAAATCAAATTTTCAATAAAACGTGGAAATTGGAAAAATTATGTTGTGTTTTTACCTCCACAAAGCGTCGGCAAATCCTTCCACGTCACCACCGGAGATATTTTAAGCACCAGGTGGGACCTACAAGTTACCCACCACGACTGCAGACCCTTTCCTATGGCTCACCACAAACTAAGCAAGCTGGTTCGGATCTCCTACCAGATACGAACCGCTTCATTCCACCTATATTGACCGGTCCAGTCTCCGCAATTTCAGTCTCTGAACTTAATGTGGAGTCGCCTGCATCCGCCGGCAATCGGGACCTGATGCTACTGTCCCCTGGCGACGACACCGTTTCTGGAAGAGTGTGAGGTTCACGTGCTTTACCACTGCACCCAAATATGGCACGAAAACTCGAAAAGAAACCGCTCCCCGTTCTTGTTGTTTTGTTTTTAACTGTTTCGACTCCGGCTGATTTTTGGCGGTTCTTTTTAAATCGGCGGTTCCGGTCTCGTTTCGATCTCACTCTTCCCATGCAAGAAACCTTAGGGGAAGATGGTTCGAAGACGGGCGGATCCAATTTAACCGAGCCGGACCGTTTAGGAAACAATCTAGAATTTTCAGGCTTGGTATTCTTCCTGTTCTTTGTGTCCACGAAGCAAGATTTATGCGGTTTCGGTAATCCGAGGATGGAAGGTTTAGATTTCCTTAAAGAAAAGCGTTGAGAATTGGGAACTAAGTTCGGATTAGGATTAAGATTTGTGGAGTTGGAAAAAGAGTTCCGTTTCTGCGAGTTTTTCCGTTCGTAAAAAGCGTAGCTGTCGACCCAATCGAGCTCGGCGTCTTTTGATAGCAAAAACGATTCTGGCGGGAAATCCGGTGGGATTTCTTCTTCGAGAGGCTTCTCCGCCGTGTGGATGCGGCCGTCGGAGGAGTCTCCTTCAGTGTTTGTTATTGTCTCGCAGACAATTTTGTTGTCAAAGGCGGAAACGAGGGTTTCCAAATTGCCCTGTCGCATTATACGGAGGCTTAAACCTAGAAAAGGAAAGAGAGGAAGTTTTGGAGAAAATCTATTTACGAAGGCAACTTCATTTTATTGCGGAGAATAGAGAGCCAGAAATTGATATTTGAAGGGAGAATTTTCAACCATTGTTCACCACTCACTGCATTTATTTGTTGAGAACATTATAAATTTACTCACTGAATTTAATTTTATTTTTTCTTATTTTATTTTAGAAATAGGCATGGGACTCGAATTCGACGAGTTTTGACTCGACTCGATCTGGTCGGGTTTTTAAAAAAAAAATCAGATTGGGTCGGGTTCGGGTTTATGGTGAAAAATATCCGACCCGACCCGAAAAATTATAATTTTACATTATATATTTAGGAATAATTACAATAATATTCATATATATATATTATTTTTCAATTAAATCACTGTTTTTATTAAATAAAAATAATATTTTTTATTGTTTCGGATCGGATTCGGGTTTAGTGAAAAAAAATTGGGCTTTTAGGTCATTGTCAACGATGATCGACGATGGCTATCACGATGGTCAATTGCGATAAAAGGTGGTCGAAACTTAAATAGCTTGAGAGTCAATGGCAAGAATAAAGAAGAAGAAGGGGAAGAGAAGAAAAGAAACAAAATGAAGAGAATTTTGAGTTTTTATATAGATGCAAAACGTCGTCATTTTAATATAAATTTATTTTTTTTCAAAATGATGTCGTGTGTCATGTCATAACGCTGTTAAATAATTAACAACAAAATAATCAAAATAAGAGCAATATCAAAGCTCAATAAGTAAGTTTAAAAAATTGAACGTACAGTGAGTGGAATTAAGAGAGAGTAAAGCTGGGAGAGTAAAATTGTAATTTACCCTTATTTGTTTTATAAGATCTAATCTTATTAATTTTTATTATTATTATTTGGTGATTGGAATTTTGAAACAAAAAATATGAGTTATTCTCATTCGGATGGATTTAAATTTAATATAAAAAATTGATAATCAGATTTTTTTTGGTAATTATATAATTAAAAATGGTATTGTAAAAGATAAATTTAACATAAATTTTAATAATATTATTTTTAGATTTAAATTTTAATTTTTTAAAAATAGAAATAAATGTACTAGACTCCAAATATATGAAAAATGCATAGACTTGAAATATATTTTAACTTTAGATCTATTCCTTATATTATTAAGCTAAATAATATGTGTGTGTATATATAGTAATAACTAAATTTCAAAAATTAATAAATTTAAACCTAAGATAATTAAAGATAAGATAAAGAAGTAGTAATTAATATAACCCCTGTAGACACTAATTTCCGTCCATATTTTTTATTTTATACATATATACACATATATATTATACAGTTTGCAAATTGTTTTTGAAAATACATATATAATATATAGTTTAAAACATTTTTGAAAATATGTATATTATATAGTTTTTAAAATATTTTTGAAAATTATATAATATATAGTTTTTGAAAACGTTTTTAAAATATATATAATATATACTTTTGAAAACGTTATGAAAACATTTATATAATATATAATTTTTAAAAAACCATTTTGAAAATATATTTTTTGAAAATATATAATATATAGTTTTTGAAAACGTTTTAAAATATATATAATATATACTATAATTTTTAAAAACCATTTTGAAAATATATATAATATATAGTTTTTAAAAAAAAACATTTTAAAAATTTATATATTATATGTTTTTGAAAACGTTTATATATATATATTATTATTATTTATTTTTATTTTTAATTTATTTATTTCTCATTTATTTTTGTGCAGGGTCCATGTCTAAGATCTGTCCAAGTCCAGGGTCCAACATTGGGCTTGATCCAGCCCGGTTAGGTTTAGGGTTTTCACAACCCTAACATCAGCCTTGTCACAGTGCCGCATAGGAGGTTCCAGAAGCATGGAGCCAAGCAGTCAACGCCCAGCGCACATTTCGGCCGCACCAACGGGACTGAACCATCCTGAGGCGGCCGGTACCATGAACTGGAAGATCGGAACAAGCAACAACCCACATCCCGTTATTTTCGGGAGCCAAACAACCAACACCGGGGCTATAAAAAGCCCCCGGTGAGGCCGACAGGGGGGAGGACACAGAACCAAACGGAGAGTACATAACGGTAGGTCGAGAAACAACAGACCATCATCGGTACCACAACAGATCATCCACAGAAAACCAGAATCATTGAACCACATGACCAACACGGTCAAAAACATCAACCATCACTGAACTCACGAGAGAACCAACAAGCACAGTAACCAAACAAGACTCCATCGAGTCAACAGTACATCAAAAACCTAAAACAACCCAAAATAACCAAACACAAAACCAACCAAACCCAAGTCAAACAACACAAACATCAAAGCAACGACCAAGGCCAAAAGACCCAGATCGTCAAAGCATCGGAAAAACGAAAGGTTTTTTACGAAAAGGTAAAAAGGCCGAAGCTTTTTTTACCAGATCTACGCCGAGGGGACCCGATTTTGGGTGATTGGGGCTCGGATTTGTTTTTAGAATGGTTAGAGAGTGTTTGGTGAGGATTTGGGTTGGCCCGGCCGCCGAAGCGACTGAGAGCGGCGGCCAGAGCGACTGAGAGCGGCGGCCGGGGCTACACCGGTGGGGTAGGGTAGAGAGAACGCAGAGAGAATCTCTGTTCTCTCATTTGAAGAGAGAGGGAGCCCAGGAGCAAATGAGAGGTTTTGACGTTATTTTACTCTCTCATGGGCCTTTTATACTGCTGATGAAACGACGTAGTTTCAGTTGGGGGGCATTTATGTATTTTTCTCACGGGTAAACTCGGTCCTCGGCTATCAGGTTCTGTCATATTTGTAATTTGGTCACTAAATTTTATTTTTCGGTATTTTAATTTGGAATTTTAATTTGTTACGCTTATATTTTAGTCCCTAAGTTATATATTTCCGAATCTGGCCCAAGGTTTTATGCAAATTTTATTTTGGTCACTAATTAACATCATTTTTTTATTATTATTTTTAACCCTTTTTTTATTTATTCAATTTCGATTTTTTTTATTTTATTATTCTATTGTTTTGTTATTTATTTATTTAATGTTTAATTATTATTTTATCATCTAACATTTTTCGACGTTTTCAGTGGTAATTTTCAACCGATCAAAGGTAAGCAATTCGAATCGAGTAATTTAAATTTTAATTTTAATTTTTAATTCTTCGCAATCAAGACAACCGGCAAATTAATTGGTACCGACAGGATGGTTCAAGGGTGTTAATCCTTCATTGACCGTAACCGACTCCCGAACCCGATTCACTTCTGGTAAAACGCAGATCAGGTAAGATGGTATCCGACCTACCTAAATCCGTTTTAAAATGGTCGGTGGCGACTCCAATTCGTTTAATCCAAGTCGAAGCCCAATTCCGGGGCCCAAACCGAAAGACGGTTGCGACAGCTTGGCGACTCCGCTGGGGACAGGTAAGTGAGTCAGGCCAGAATTAATTTTCGGTTGTCTTTTTGTGCGAAAATGGTAAATTTAAATTTTAATTTATTTATTTGATTCGGATTATTTACCTTTGATTATTTTTTCAAATAAATAGTTGTACTGACATTTTTTTCAATGGTTTCAGATTTTTTAAAAGTTTTCATCTCTGGCTCTATACCCGAGCTCCAAACCCTTTTAAGTGGGGGTGAAAGCGACGCATTCGTGTGAATTTATTCACCGCATATGCCTAGCAAGTAGCCTTCGGGATTCATATACTATATGTCTTCGTGTGAATTTATTCACCGTGCGGGCATAAGGGAATGTGTCCCCTCGAGTTTAACTTAGTCCACACAAGCCTGTGATGGGTTTAGGACTAAGGGTCTGGTAAGCCCAAGGGGGCACCGACAAGGAGAACTCGAGTACCTTTTTAGAACCTAAACCGGGAGAGTGCAGGGAATTAGAGCCCACCCCAAAACCTCATTCCAAACCCTAGGCTGTTTTATTTCCTACTTTATTTTCTGCTCAAAACATGCGAACTAAACAAATATGCGGTTAGGATTTGTTTGAAATTAGCATGCGGGATAGAGATCATGTCCGGGTAGGAATTAAAGCATGTGGGGTAGATATCATGTGGGGTAGGATTTTTTCATTTTTATTATTGTTTTGATTTACCTCACTAACCCTTTTATTTTTTGTTCTCTTTTATTTTGTGTTCATCGTTTGCATCATTTAAAACGATGTGTTGATCCACCAAAAATGTGTTTGTTAAACATGAATAATCTGCATTAATGGACAAATGGGTTATAATACAAAGAGATAAAAAAAAACTCAGAAGTCCAACCATGGGCAAAGAATACTCAAAGGTAAAGTTGCAGGGGCAATACGAGGAAAAGGTCACTGACCCGGTCGCTCCTTTCGAAAACTACAAGAACAAGATGGTGAAACACTAGCTGAGCTGGATGCCATTACTGACGAATTCAAGAGGCAAGCTTCGGATTATTTCTCTCGATGGAAGGCTCCAATGACACTTTCGTTAGAAACAAGCTCGGTAGAAAGTGAAAGTCGAAGATGCAGTCCTTCGAGATCTTTTTTTTTTTTGGGGCAAGCATCTCATTATTTGCACATTTTAGCCAAAGGAGCCGGGATGGTGCGACAGGATATTCAACTAGTGAAAAAGACGAATTAACTTGTCAGAAGATGTACAAGATTTGTACCATCAAAAAGAGTTTTTTTTTATCTCTTCAGACGTAACACTTTTGTCACCAATAAGGGTTATTCAGAATAACAGGCACATTTTTTGGATCAATGCCTCGGACATTTCATGCATCACATATTTAGACATTTTGCATTTCTTATTTTCTTGGCATTTTGTTATTTTCTTTGCATTCACATTAACTAATATATACATGTCTCATCAAAAGGAGTAAATACTGGATACACCGCCTCAAGTATTGGACACACCTCATCCACATAACACTCGTTTGAAGAAGAAGAGGATGGAAGCCAGAATTACACAAATCGAGGAGAATATGTTAAAACTACAAAAGGAGCTAGAAGACAAAATAAACCAGAACAGT